GACTTTTTATATATAGTTATTAAAAGCTTATATATAATTAATTAAAAGCTTTTAAATAAGTAAATAGAAACATTAGTATCATTTTCAGGGCTATACCGTAATGGCAGCATAACAGCCTCATTTCCATTTGTCTTACAGAGTAAAATGCCATTGTTAGGTATGAGTTGCATAGGTTGTCTTAGTTGCTTTTATTTTGTTTTGATAAAATACACTGAAAGGGGATTTTTTGGTTTTTTTGTTTTAAGTTCACAGTTCCAGGCTATAGTCTGTCATGTCAAGGAAGAAGTTGCAGTAGGAGTCTGGGGCAGTGAAAAGAAAGTGATAAACATTGTGCTCAGCTCACTTTATCCTTTTTATGCAGTCCAGGATCTCACCCTAGGGAATGGCCCCACCTACAGTGGTTGTGTATTCCAGCCTCAGTTTACCTAAGCAAGATAATACCTCACAGTCCTTCCCAGAGGCCAGTCTCCCAAGTGGTTCTAGAGCTCACCAAATTAACTCAGGTTTCTTTTCATTCCCCTCGTCCTGGAGCTCTACTCTCCCAACCCCCATTTTGGTTTGATTTAGTTTGGTTTGGTTTTTAAGATAGGGTCTCTGTAGCCCTGGCTGGGCTGAAACTCGTTATGCACAAAACAGGCTGTCCTGGAACTGAGGGAGCCACCTGCCTCTGCTTCTCAAGGGCTACGATTAAAGGGTGTCCACCGTGCCCAGCCCCCTTTGATTATTATCCTAGTCTCCATTATAGCTAAAATCAATGGGTATCAAAATTTTCACATCTATTAGTACAGTCCATGGAAAGAATTATCTATGATAGTGGATCTATGTATCTTTTATCATTATTTTAATGTTTTAAGTCCTTTTTGCAAAAAAGAGAACCATAAATGTGATGGAGTTTGCTTTGTATATGGATACAATTAATAAGGTTTTCTAAAGAGATTATGCCAGTTTGTGTAAATCATTCCTAATTTTATCATATTCTCTATAATATTACATGCCTTTAACTATGTTGAGGGTATGATTTGCATTTCCTACTAGTGGAGATTAGCTTTTGTCTTATATCTGATTATCACTTTGTTCTTTTTTATATGACTTGTTTGTATACGATTTACAAATCATGGGATCCAGATTACAAACATGGTAACACCCAAAAGATATTCATAAATGTTAACTCATTTTGAATCCTCCTACCTGGACAGACAGGAAAGTAGGGAACTGACAGTCTCTGCCAGGATGGGACACTCAGAACATTCTGACAGCAACATTCTTGGTATGAAATGGCATCAAGTATGTTTAAATTGCTTAAGTTTCATTTCAAGGTCTATCAAAATTTATACTCAGATTGAAGTAAAATTTGTTATGTCTGAACCTCAAGAAAGAAACTTTTTTCAGGAGCTGGATGATAAAACTTTAAATGAAAATGTAAGTGAACAACATAAGCCTTACTACAGAGGTGCAGAGGAAGGCTGGAGAGATGGCTCAGCCACTGAGCACAAGCACTACTATTGCAGAGGACCTGAGTTCTGATACCAGCACCCACAACCACCTGTAACTCCAGCTCCGGGAAATCTGACACCCTCTTACGGCATCCATGGGTACCTGTACTGGCATGCACACAGAAACACATATACATAACTTAAAATAAACAATCTTTTCCCCGGGTGTATAAAGGTACAGTGCGCAGTGGCTGAAACAAGTGGTAGTTCACTCAGCCAATTTCTCGCTTCAGTCTTAAAGTTTTAGGCAAATAATGCAGGTCAGAAAACTGCTGTTGGTCCTGGCATGCCTTGAACACCTCGCCCTGATGTGGAGGCTGTCAGTTGGGCTTGTAGAGGAAAGAAAGGCTTCCTGCTGGGTATTCTGCACGTTATTGGTTTTGCTTGAAATCATAGTCAAGGGTTTCTTTCTGCCATGGTCCTTTAGGAACTCAATCTGTTTCTACGTCATTCCACCTCATAGCACATTCTACCAGCCACAGTTGGCTAACAAAGGCGAATTTACAGGCTTTACATGGTGAGAAAGGAGCTAATACAAGTGAAAGCACCATATTTTAGGTTTTTCTTCTGCTTGTCTGTCTTACTGAGATTATGTTGTGTTTCCATTGGTTATTTTCTACATTCCGCCCCTTCACTGCCTCGAAACTATTGCATACTTTTTAGCTTTCTGACAGTTGAGTCCTGAGTGTTTTTATGAGGCACATCCTGCTATAAGATTCTATATTCTGGCCCTGAGGAGTGTAGTCAGTGATTAAGTGTAAAATTCTGTCCAGGCACATGATGGGCTCTGCATTAGAGCACTGCTGCCCCTGGGCTATTTGACAGCTGTCTGCCTCGATATGATATTAAATCACGGTGAGGCATCAGACTAGGAATACCAATTTGCAACCAAAGCATGCTTCTGACGCATAAGAAACTTCAGACAGAAACAGCTCTAAACATCATTTGGAAAGGTTTTTGATGAGCAAATTGTAAATATTAACACCTCTAAGCTTGAAATATTACCTGTTAAGCCAATAATCGCATGTGTAATTTCTCTTCATGCCAAGAAAGAGACTAGATTGAATTACTTAGAGAAACCTAAAAGGAATTTTAATTCCTGCCTCCATGAGGCAACAAAGTCAACCGCAGCCTGGTCCAGGTTCCAAGCATCAGAGAGTCACAACCCGACCTGTCTGAGTATGGAGTTGAGATCCATCATGCACTACTCTTCGTGTAGCTTAGCCAGTGCAGGAATATGTCCCTCAGTTCCAGTGAAGGAGACTGTCTCTGAGAGTTGCAGTTGCCACATTTCTGTTCCTTAGTGACCGAGAGCTTCCATCTGCTGTGCTCCAGGCATGTCACTACCAAAGACCATTAAAGCCATTTCGTTCTTGTAGTGACAGGCATAAATTTAGAACGTTTATGACCTGGTGGCAGCCTTGAAAGGCCTCGCATTGCCAGGGCCTCTCTGGTGATCAGAGCATCTCTGAGAACATTCAGTCTGTGTGTCTCACAGACTACAACCTGCCCCGCTACCCCACTATTACCATCTTGAAATTGTTAGAGTTTTATAGTAAAAGGCTACATGTTCTCGTGTGTACTAGGTCCCACAGATTATATAGCAGCCTCCTGGTAAGTGTATCGTATAGTTACTTTAACACAAACACAAACAAAGCAAGCTTACGCTCTGACCAGCTGAAGCCTAGCCCTGCATTTCTTAGTGGCTGCTCCAGTTTTATCTAGTTCATTGTTCACAGCAACCTTATAGGATGTAACTACCACAAATAACAAGACACAAAATGTGTTTGTTGGGTATTCAGTATTAGCATGGCCTCCACTGACCATCTCAGGTTAATTTCAGACCATATATATTACAGTGTTTAGAAATATATTTTAAGTTCTAAAATATTAGTATGCTCCTATGAGAATAGTCAAATATTCCATCTTACTATACATATTACTATAAAAATTTTCAACATTAAAAGGGCATTTAGATTTTTTTTTTATATTTGGCTCATATAATATAAGCAGTAAAGTTTAAGGAATGTATATATTCCTTGCTAAATAATTTTTACTTTAATAACCATTGTGTGATTTTTATCTGATTATTAACTTAAACTATACATAAACCATAGAAAGCATATGTGCTAACTCAATTAAATCATAATCAAAGCTGGTTATGGTGGCACACTCCTTTAATCCCAGTTCTTGGGTGGCAAGGGCAGGCAGATCTCTGAGTTCGAGGGCAACCTAATCTACAAAGCGAGTCCAGGACAGCCAGGATTGTTACACAGAGAAACCCTGTCTCAAAAAACAAAACAAAAACAAACAAAAAAAAAAACATAGTCAAACAGATTCCTTGAATTACTCTCTCTCTTGCTCTCTCTCTGTGGGCCTCCTGGTGTGTTTCTCTTTATAGTCTCCTCATGGGAACCACTGGGTTCTAGAGCCCGATAGATTCGTGAAATGGTTTTTTGCTCATTGATCAGCTTTCTGGAGCTAATATAGTATAACCCCTAACCTCTATACCAAGGCAGAAGATAATCTAATTTCTCAGCCTTAGGCAAGCTGTTACTCCCAAGCAGAGCCGATTCTGGTTTAGATTTTGGGCAAACGGGGTAGAGTCTGTGAGAACAGTCATAGCAGTTTTTTTGCTCTCTGCTCCATAGCTGTGTGGCTTCTCTTTTTTCATTTTTAAAATTTACTGCTATTCTGCTATGGAAGATGGTTTACATTTTTCCACAATTGATGTTTTCCTCTCACAGAGACATTCCAATGCCACTAGTCAGCTCAGGAGTAGAGCATGGCAACCTGCGAGAGCTGGCCTTTGCAAGAATGAAAGATCTTGGAATACAGGTATGAGTCAATGTGGCTATCAGGTAAATTGTGAAGAAAAAAGAATCTCATCACACACGTCTCCAGGGCTGCCACTCTTAGGCAATGCTGGTACCAGTTGGGTCAGAAAGTTTGTGTATTTAGAGATGTTCTGTGTACCTTGTAAAAGCTGAAGGGAGTGGCAACAAAGGCTGCCACTGTCCCTTTGTTGTCCTCTGACTTCTCTAACCTGTAGCTTTATATTCACTGAGGAGCTTTTCTCTCCTGACCCTAATAAAACGAAGGAAGCTATTAATTCAGCAGCCTCTGGAGGGACATGAGTTTGAAATGAAGCATCCTTGTTGTAAATAAATATAAATGAGGGTTGGGCTAGATAATGTTTATTGTTAGCTCTAAGATTATCAGAGTGATATTATTTAAACTGCTATCACAGATGAGAAACAGATCCCTAGTAGATTTAAAATTGCCTTATTTACCTTGGGCCAGGCAGGTATTTCACTTCCACTGTCTCAAATTCCTTAATTCCAGCACCATCTCCTGGTGCCCATCCAGTGCCGTCTGCCTGAATCCTCTTCATCTGGGCATTTTCACGGAGTCCTTTCTCTTGGCCCACGTGGGTTTTTATTCTCCATGCTAACCCATCGTGGCATCATCCTTCCTCCTCTCCTTCCATCTGTCTATCTCCCATGATTCTCTCTTGAACCCAAAAGCCCGGGGGGTGGGGTGGGGAGGACCCTTACCCACGCCTACCCCATTCTGCCCTGCCCAGGTATAGGCTGTCTAATCAACCAGTCAGGTATGTCTTAGACAGTTTTACAAAACAGATCTTGAGTGCCAGTAACCCATATCAGACCAACCTCCAACACATCCTAGAACCTTCGTAGGGCTTCTAAAGAGATGAGCCAGGATCAGTGGCTGGCCAGCGCAGCAGGAGTTAGCTCTGCTGTCAGAAACCAGTGCCATCAAGTTGGGAGTGGGTGAGGGGAATCTGTTGACTGTGTTTTCAAGCATGGACTGTGCTTTCAGAGAGATGATTCCAAGAATGGCACAGCACACAATTTGGATTTGCCCATAATTTATTTTAGACTTACTCAAATTATCATAGAGGGAAAATTTTAGATGTTGTCCAGAAGAGAACATTTGAATATTATTGATTTATTCAACAACAACAAAAAAAAATGTAATAGACAACGTTTAGAAATAAGCAGGTGCATGTATGCTAATTAACAGCATCACACAAGACTGTGTGCCTACTCTCCACTCTCCAGCTGTCCTCCAGCACCATCTTCTCTGGCCTCCTCAGAGCCTATTTCTAGGGGCCAGAAGTCCTGTTACTGGCTATCTCCCTGTCTATTGTTCCTTTTTAACCCTGCCCCATCTGCTAAGTGACCCAGGAGTGAATTCAAAAACCCAAAGTTTCTTACCAGAAAGTAAGTACATATCATCTCTGCCTAAAAAAAAAAAAAAAAAAAAACTCCCAGAAAGAACAAGGAAGGAAGGAGCAGGTACCTGTTGACTGAGTGTAGGTAGCCCTCCGACACACACACACACGTCTCCTGTGTGGCAATGGACTGGAAGATAGCATCTGTTCTTAGTAGATCAGCTACAGAAACTGGTGGCCCTTGTTTGTTGTGCAGGCCATATCAGCAGAGGATCTTGATGGGCAGGTTTCCCAAAGCGTGGAAATAACTTTGCTTTTGTAAAACTGAACAATGAGCTTTTATACATTGTTAAATTGTCTTGCATAATACTGTCAAATTTTTTAGCATGATTCTGTCTCACTGGTAGAAAGTGTTAGAATCCTGAAAATGTATTTATGGTTTATTCTGTAGAGGAAGAATATGCCGTAGGGACAGCACTGGATAATGCAAGGCTTTTGTAATGATGAGTGTCAGGCTGTATAGGATACACACTGGGTTGAGGAGTAGGAGTAAGTGTTGTTACAAGTCGTGACCATGCAGAGGAGGCATCGCATTGACACTGTCGCCCAGCAGCTGTTCGCACCCAGCTGTGCTCACGTCCAAGAGCCATTGTAATTGTAGTTCAGCTTGTGTCCTATGAGTCTAGGCTCCTTCTGTATCTTCCCTTCCTTCCTTCTTCCACAGTCCTTTCTTTGGCAAGGAAACATATCCTTTATATGCATCTTTTTGACATATGTTAAATGATACAATACTAAAAGTAGTAATGTCATACATAATAAAGGTTTTAAAAATTTAAGAATTTGCTTTTACTCTCCTGTGATCATATTTTGGGACATATTTCAATCATTTTGGGGTGGGGTTTTCACTTATCTTTGGGCAAAACTGTTTTCTGACTTTCTAACTTAATGTTTTTCCTCAAGATTATATATGGTCTCTTTGAATTCTTAATTCATTTTAAAAGGAAAACACAATTCCCTTCATCAGATTTAATAAGGATGGCTTTGTTAAGTTTTCCTTCTTCTGTTTCAGTGTAAGTTATGTCCAGACTTAATCTGAGCCCAGGATTTGTTTTAAATGAACAATGAATGAGTCACTACTTTGATTTTTTTTTTTTTGGCAGTGCCGAGATGTGAGAACCAGGGAGGTTGGAATTCAAGAAATTCATCACAAAGTTCGGCCATACCAGGTCAGTCTGCTTTAAATCTGCTCCAAGCTTGGGCCCACCTGCCCACAGGGCAAACCCAGAAATGAGTGGATAACTTAGCAGGGCAGAAAGTAGCCATGGGAGCCATTGAGGTATGGAATAACCTGGCTAGGAAAACCAAGGCTGGGCCTCATTTTTTCATCAGCGCTGTAGTTTGGGAAATGTTCTGAGGAGCTGCTCTGCTGCCACTGGACTCTGCAGTGACTCTTGAAGGTGTAGTAAGGACTCAAGAGTTCCAGTCATTTGAGTGCATTCAAGTATAAGTAGCCATGGATGACTGGTGGCTGCCTTCTTGTGGAGGGCCTGGCTAATCTCAGCTATGTAACTGGCAAGTTCTTGTCCTTTGGTAATAACCCAGTGAGAAGATGGCAACAGCTAACTGGCTTCCCCAGACCTTCAGCATTCAGCTACCTAAGGCATTCCAGATAGCTTCCGTTTCATACATATATAACCTCTAGCCTGGTGCAGCGTTTTCTGTGGCGTGCAGTTCTTGGGGACCCCGTGTGAGAATGAGAAAGGTTGGAGTAGACAGTCTCTGCATCAGTGGTTCTGTTCTTAGCATGAACTGTTGTTAACATTAAAGGGCCTTTTGAGGGGAAAAAGCAGACCTGACAGTTAATCATTTTGGCAAATTCTTTATCCAGTTAGATTCCAAGCATTAAGCTAAGGGTTGATTTTGCTTTGAGTATAATCCACCCATATATAGGGTGTATCTGTTACAGCCTTACCAAATATATAGAATTCTAAATGTATACCTTTTGCACCATCGTGTACCTAGAATCATCTGTACCATGGATTGAAGAGTCAGAGTAGATACAGATTGCTACCACTGAAATGCCGCATCCAGCCATCCTCTGTCCCTCTGTGAGAAACTGTGCCTGGCAATGGGACTTCTACATATTCATCCCTTCACTAGGCATGTTTCACAAGCCGGTCCAATGTTATACTTTTCTTAATTATTATTGTGAAACAAGAGACAAGGATTACCTCTTCACACACACATACATCGTAGGTTTTAGTAGAAGAAGTAAGGACTAGCCAAGGAAACCATTCAATATCTGACAGTTTGAAAGTGGTGGGGGTGGGGATGTTGTCCTAAAAGCTGAGCGCGTGATTTACTCTGTAGTTTTATCTTAGGGACAATTCATGGGACCTCATACAGTTAGAGAGAAGCAGTCACTGTGCTGGATACCTGTAAGAATTGCAAGGTTAATTAAGTTCAAATATTTGTAAAATCTTACTTTGTTTAGAATAGTCTACGAACAAGGCATGAACTCGTGTTAATCCTGTGCTATTTGAGAGGAGGCAAATAAAAACCATAATTAGTGATGATTCATTCTTTGTTCCCAGCTGAACATTAGCCTAAACACATCCATGTAATTATAAAAATGAACTTGGTTCTCTGATTCTGAATGAGACTTTTCATGGCTTTTTATCCAACAGGTTGAGTTGGTACGGAGAGATTACGTTGCCAATGGTGGCTGGGAAACCTTCCTGTCCTATGAGGACCCTGATCAGGACATTCTGATTGGCCTCCTAAGGCTACGGAAGTGCTCCGAGGAAACCTTCCGGTTTGAACTGGGTGGAGGTGTCTCCATAGTCCGAGAGCTGCATGTGTATGGAAGTGTGGTTCCTGTGAGCAGCCGTGATCCCACTAAATTTCAGCATCAGGTACTCTGCATCCTGAATTCTAACTGCTTTAGAGTTAAAAGAGTGTTTGAAATAGGAAAAGTGAAAAGTAGGGTGAGGAGGGAAGGAAGAGGTGGGATGAGAAAGAGAAGCACAGGAACAAGGCTTCATTTCAGTGTTCAGGGCATTCTGTCTCCATGTTGCTCCCTTGCGGTTCCTTGGGTTCCAGGGGTTACCAGATACACCCAGTGTATCAGGTTCAAACAAAACTACTTCACTTCCTGTGGACTCAAATGAGGTGATGACAGGAAAGTGCTTCACGGGTGTAAGTTGTGTTGTATGTATGAAACCCTGTTCTAATGCCCAGCAACCTAAAATTAGAAATCTGTATTTTTAAGTTTCAGGAAAATGTGTTAAAAGCAGTAATAATAGGTTTAGGGTAAACCCCAAATTGGATGATGCAAGAAATTTGCCACATTCCAAACCTTTTCAGAAGTGGGAAAAAAAAAAAAAGTGGAAGGTGAGTCAAATAAATAAGACGTGTTGCCCCAGACTCCTGTCAACTGGAGTTGCCTAGACCTCACCTGAAGTGCCCTGCGCCCAACCCAACCCCATCACCCAGATGCCAGCTCTTGTTATAATGCTCCCTTCTTTACTAAGTCACTGAGTGTGCCCTGGGCAGGATCCACTGCTTGCTTTTTTTCTTACTCATCGGTAGATTTTTAAAATGCATTTTACCAACTGTATTTTGCTTTGTGGACCTTTCTTTTTTTATTGATTAAATTATTTATTTACTTTATATCCTGATCACAGCTTCCTCTTCCTTCTCTCCTTCTAGTCCCTCCCTCTCACCTCCCCTTTCCCCATCCACCCCTTCTCCTCAGAAAAGGGGAGGCTTCCCATGGATATCAACCAGTTTTGGCATATCAAGTTGCAGTAAAACTAGACGCATTGTCTATTGAGGCTAGACAAGGCAGCCCAGTTAGGAGAAAGGGATCCAAAGGCAGGCAGTGTAGTCAGACAGCCCCTGCTTCCGCTTTAGGAGTCCCACATGAAGACCCAACTGTTACGTTGTGGGCCTTTCTTAATGGGCTCTCTTCCCTTCTTAATCAGGAACTCCTTTCTCCTCCTTCTAGGGCTTCGGCATGCTCCTGATGGAAGAAGCAGAAAGAATAGCTCTAGAAGAGCACGGATCTGGGAAAATTGCGGTGATATCAGGTGACTGTAGAGAGGAGTTCCATACACATGATTCATCTGTTTACATTTGACACTTGACACCACAGTGAGATCCACTCTCTTGCCTCTGTATGATTACTGGTCCAAAATTGGTCCAAGCTGACAAATGAAGGACTTTGGGGAATTTCTGAGAGCAATTGGATTAACTTGAGCTTCTAGAATCATTGTCCCTAAGAGCACCAGGCCAGTAACCTGTGTGCATGCTCTGCTTATCTGACCTGTGGTCACTGTGGTCAGCTCCTCTCGTGTGCTTTGTGCCAGCTGCTGTGTGTGGAAATGGACTTTGATAGATGTGAGCAGTGTGGAGCCTGAGTTGTCGGTTCAGAGCCAGTGTAGCTCTTGCCCTTCCATGTGCCACTGTTGCCTCTGTTCCCGAGCGACAGCCTTTTCACTTGGAGGGGAGAGGGTGGGGGGAAGAAACTTTCCTCAGCTCTTAGGGTCCCAGGATAGATTTGAAGATTAAATGGACAAAGACAACAGGATGAAGGTATGAAAATGAATATAAACTAAGTAAAACACAGGAACCTTCCTGGGAAAATGAAGACTGGGAGATGCATGTAAATGTGAGTTTAGTGAAAAGTGGAAAGTCATGGGGAATGGGATAGAGGAATGTGGACTCCAGGGCTATAAACCCAGCAGGCCTGCTGCTTCATCCTCGTCCCTTTCCACCTTTAGAGACAAGGATGTCCTTCCCTCCAGTTTGGGCTGGTAGCTCTCACAGAAATGTCTTCAGGAGCATAGGGCAGGGAGAAGGCCTGAGCCCTTCCTGATCCTGCTGTGTTCTTAACTCTTCCAGCTTTTGCCAAGGCAACTAAATGGACTTGTGTGTTCTGAATCCCTGAAGAGCCTCCCCTACTGACCAATGATAGCTTACAGTTGGGGGAGGAAACATAAAAGGGAGATTTGGGAGGAAGCAAGAAATGATGGATACCTTCTTTTCCTCACATTCTTCAGTGTGGTGTCCTTAAAGGAAAAAATTTCCAATTACTCTAGGGAACCTCAGATGTGAAATGTAGAATCAAGATTTAGGATACATTTGTCCCCGGAATTTACTTTGTTTTCTTATTTGACTACCACATCCTAGAAGCTTATGTGTGGCCTGAGGGGAAAAGAAAATTTTATGAAAATTAAAGTTGAAATGAGGTGTGTAAAAGAAAAATCAATAAGAAGTTGCCAGTTAATAAATCAATACTGGTACCCAGGTCTTTATGATTGCTCTTATAGAAATAATAGCCACACAGGCTCACCTAATCATTTAGTCTGGCTTGGGTTTTTGATGTTACCCAGATTAATAATGTATTTCTTAGCACGTCTAGATTTTTTTATTTTCTCCAATACTTTAGTCCCATAAAGAAGTGCTAGGTCAGAACTAATGAGCAAGCAGTAAGAAACTGTTTCCATCTCCCAGCTTACCCTGTAGTTGGCCAGAAATGTTTGGAAAGGGCATCTGGCCTCAGAATGCCTTCTACCTGTGTGTCTGGATGGGGCTGACAACACTGAAACTGGAGGCCTTAGTGTTCTTAGGAGTCACCCACAGAGCTTGCTAAAGTCATTTTAGTGCATTCTGGCTCTTTAGGTCTAGTTGGGGGCTGAGAGCCCACAATTGCTAACCAGCCAGTGTGCTGCTTCTGATTGCCTTCAGACCACATCCAAGAAGCTAGACTTTAATATTATGCAAATGCTATGCTCCCTTTCCAGTCATTAAGGTTGTAACTGCCTGGCCTATAGCCCTACATTCCCAGGTAGCATTGAGACACGTGATTTCCTGGTGTCTTTGGGAACCTAACGAGGTTTTCACTTTCCATCACTGCCTTCCTGACATTGATTTCTCTCAGAAGTTTCCACCCAGGATCCCTGACTTGCCTGAGGTCAAATCCAGTTGCATGTAAGAGCCTCGGTCTGTTTTTTTTGTTTTTGTTTTTCTGTGCAGGGTGTCTTTCTGAGTGAGAGTTGGCATCCCTCCTCACCAGCTTTTTATCATAATCTACATGATAGCTCGATTTCATGTCACCTGTGTGGTAAATTTCTAAAAGAATAAGAAGTAACTCGCTTAGAGAAGTAGCCGAAATGCTGGGTCTCCTCCCTGGCATCCTGCAGAGGGTTCTAAAGCCAGAAAGGGTTTCTATAGGAATCACCTGGAAGAGCTTCTTGAGACTCAAGTGAGTTCTTTAGAAGTCTGGGAGTCCCACCATTGTCAGAGGAAAACTGCATATAGCCTCCTTGACTTCCTGTTTGACTCTGACCAGCCTTCACAAGGAAACACTGAGCACATTTGCTCTATGGCGGGTGCATTGTGTCTCTCTTGCTTAACAGTGTATCACTGGTCAGGAGTTCTTCTGTTCAGAACTTGGGGGATAGCAAGTGTTTAGTATCGTGCTATGTGTTGATGTTGCTTTTTCCTTCCATTTGTTCACTTTGGCTTTGGTTTTTTTTTTAGTATGGTGGTGCTGCTGCTGGTGTGTGTGTGTATGTAAGTGTTCATGCTCACATGTATGTTTTAACTGACATTTGTAAAAACAAAAGTCAAACAGTTGCTCTCTGCACCCTGGTCCTTAAAACAAATCTCTGATGACACACAGTACTGCTGTTCATGGGCTGCATTTCAGGAACAGTGCCATTAGGCATAACATAGAAAAGACATGGCTAGTGGGGTGGGCAGGGAGCCTTGCCAGCCTGTGATCTAATGAATTTCATGGTCTTTAATTCTGTATTAAAACCAGGCCCATCAGTTTATCCGTGATGGTTCTAGTCTGGCTTCTTAGTTCTCAACAGGACTTGTTAGGTTTTACTGGTTACACGTAACCAGCCTCTTTTCTGATGCCATAGATGATCCTTTTAATGGATTCCATTTCATTCCCAGCTAGGTATTTAGTGATGCTAAAGTTCACATAGGCAGTTGATTCCAGCCATGACACCACTCTGTTTTCTCTGATTTTGTTTTCAGTTTATAACTCCATGTTCTCTATGAGTCCATGGCTTTTTTCAAAGTCACAGACAGTGGGGCATGGCTTTCTGCCATGGCATGATTCGTGAGGAGAGCAGAGACAGGGTCATTTATCATTTTGTTGGCCTGGCTGTAAGAACCACGCATTTATGTAAAACTTTGAAACTTCCGCTCTGATTCATTATGACTTCCCTTCATCTTGGCAGCAGGTTTTCTCTGCTACTTAGATTTATGATCTGGGGCCCTACCTCTAGACAGTGTTATTAACTTCACCAGAGCTCTGACTTGAATCACTAGTCAGAGAGCTTCTGTATATTCTCATTTTCCCTATTTAAAAGCATTGCTTTCATCTGTTATTTCCATGTATTTATTATAAAGTGTACACCATGTGCTTGATGAACCAGTCTACAGCTATAGCTGCATGAGAAAAATTAAAACCGCTTTAAGCAGTCAGATGAAGTACTTTCCAAGAGGCATTCAAATTCTTTTAAAGTATAAAAGTCTTAGTAAACAGTTTTAAAGTTAACTATAAACTTTAACTGTGAAAATTATTTAAAAGGAAAAATTAAATATTCTATTTCATCACCATCAAAATCACTAGGTATATTAAGGGGAACAATAAAAGTGTAATCCCAAAGCTTGGGAGCCTGAGGCAGGAAGATTGTTGTGAGTTCAAGGCAATCATGGGCTACATACTGAGACAGACTCTTACCTCAAAAGATGTGTGATGTAGAGCTGCCTTCTGGGAACATGCTCTCAGATGGGCAGGAAACTGGGTTTCTACTACTGACCTTCCTCTGCAAGGGAGAATGTGACTGCTCCCTCCCTCCTCAGACTCCAAGCCATTTCTCCACTAGGATTAATTGCTTCTTTCTGCATATAAAAAAAAAAAAAATGGGCAAATCAATGTTCTGAAAAGAACTAGTTTATAAAATAATGTATAGGTAGGAACTAGCTGTTAGCTGTTGCTGAATTGTAAAGTGATTAGTTAGTCCCAGCTGTATTCCAGGGCTTCAGTGTCTTAGCCGTTTACCTAAACAGCTTCTGTGGCTGCCCAGCTAATTAAGATAAACAAATTGTATTTACAATTTATATTTTAAAACATGGTGTTTGCCTACATGTTGATCAGCAGGCTGTCCTTCTAACATCATGAAACAGTTTGTCTCATTCCTTCATGTAAGGTGTAAGGTACAGGGACCTCTACTCTGGAAGCTAACTAAAATCTTTAAAATGCCATCACTAATGATCACCATGGAAACCAGAACTCTGATGTCACAATGCCCATACTATTTCTACAAGGGCAAATATAACCATCAATAGTCACTGTTTAAAAAGCCATTTAACATCTTCAACAGAATAAGGGATTTTTCCCCCCTTTGGCAATTTTGGCTAGGTATCAGATTTAATCATGTTACTGTTTCAGTTTGCCAAGCTAATTGCTATGCGGTAAGATAGACAGCTATTCCCCAAGCTCCCTGACTACCTTCGTCATAAGCAGTATTCTATTTGTGTTCTTTCAAGTAGAAAATTAATATGGCCATTGGCCAAGAGCTGTACAAGCTTGATAGATCACACAGTGATGCTGAGAGATGAGAAAAGGTCTGAATGGTTGATGTCAGAAGTCTTTTAAGTCAGAGCCTGATAACCATTTTGTTTAAATCAATTACAGTGCCAGTGATGAGGGGAGGGGAAATTTTAAAATACAGGGTGAGTAAAACAGTCACTATGGATATGAGGTCATTCTTAATCATGTTACTCAAAGCCATGTGGCCTAAAGCTGTGACTACAGTCCCCAGTAGTCAAAATCAATGTTTCTGTGCCTTATATAATCCAATATGGCTTCCTAGAGCAGAAGTTAATGCTCTTGTGGGTGCCCCAAAGCCTTTGTCTTGTGTGGGCAAGAAAACAGCAATTGTTTTCTTTAGGCTATGACCATCTGATATTTACTTCTGGACCTGAGGAACCTCACCCGTATCCCAGGGTGATAGACAACTCTCTCCTACACAACTCTCTCCATTTTGGATCAAGGTTATTTTAT